AATCCATCCGTTGGCAGTGGGTTTGGTATAAGATTGTCTTAAGTGCTGTCGAGTTGGTTCTGATATGTAGCGACCCTGTATAGGGTTTCTGAGATGCAGCTGGCGATTTTGAGTGGCCTCCCTTTTGGGTTGCAGTCTAGTGCTTATCCTACAATGTCATATTGGAAAATCATCCTGATGAAGGTGGGTTATGTTTTCATTTACACTACAGAAGGATGAGGCCTCAGAAGGATCAGGTGAAGATACCAGAACTGGAGCCTGTTTAACTGACAAGATTTTATTCATTAGACTTCTGAGTGATTAATTATTCAAAAAGGAGGACCCTGTATTTTTCTTCCCCTTCAGCCCTCTTTTAGTGTACAGTTTTGAGTACATTATGATAATATAATTTCCCATTTAAGACTCTCTTTTGTTGTTTCTTCTATAGTTCAAGCTTTTTGCCCCCAGTTTTTTTTTTGTAAATTAAAGGGGAGAATAGAAACTTCAGATTTATGTGCTTTGCAAGGAAAATAGAAACCAGACAAGACAGACTCACACCACTGTCACTCTGCTGTAATAATGTTGGTGTTTGGGAAAGAAATGATGGTGAGACTGAAGTGTGATAGTGTAATGGCATCTGAAACCACCGACCTCTCAGTTAGCAACCTAGTGCTTAACCTACTGCTCCACCACCAAAAAACCAAACCCACTGCCATCAAGTGGATTGCAACTCATGACGACCCAATAGTGCAGAGTAGAATTGCCCCGTTGGTTTCTGACACTGTAATCTTTCAGAGCAGACAGCCTCGTCTTTTTCCTGTTGGTCAGCTGATGGTTTGAGCTGCTGACACTTAGCCACTGTGCCACCAGGGCTCCTTAAAGAGTGACAGAGGGAGAACAGTGAAGTTGTAAACAAAATGAAGAGAAGAGTTTCCAAGATTTAACTAAACAGAGGCCTGGTGTAATGCTGTGGTTAATGCACTGGACTGCACAGTTGGTTTGAACCACAAGGTTGGCAGTTCAAACTCACCAGCTGCTCCTCAGAAACCCTGTAAGGGTCACTGTGAGTCAGAACTGACTTGAAGGCACTTAACAACAACATGATGTTGTTGTTGTTAAATATGTGCAGTCAGTTCTGACTCACAGTGAATAACAACATGATAGGGAAGACTTTATCATTTTTATTTTGCTTTGTTTTACTGTTTTTCCTGTAAACTTTGAAATATGTATTGAAGCCTGCTCAGGTATCAATTAAAACATTTTTTTTCACTCAGTCAAATCTTTTTTGCTATTCTTTTGTGATACTTATCTTCCTTTGTGAACCTAACTTTTAAGTATGATTTTAAGTTCCAATGAAGTCGTATTAGGTGACAAGAGAGTTTTAATTTAATACATATAAGAGGAAATGTGTTTTTGGTGCATTGTACATTACATGTGTATATAGATTTAAGCAAATGGAAAATTTTAAGGTATATATTGTGTTCTTTGCAAGCAAAAAGCATTTTATTTATGCAAATTGATGACTGCTGCATTTCAGTAACAATATTTTAGCTAACTTTGTATTGTTGAATTTGTCATCAGGTATAGAAATCCTCTAGCTCCTCTTTTTCGCTAGAAATATGTCATTTCCTTCTTTCTGCATCATTGCCTTAGATTCTTTTTAAAACAATTTTTTTATTCCCTTCCCTGTCTAGAATCTCTGTAACCTAGTCCGGTGCCTGGATGCAGTGCTGTTTCAAGGCAAGATCTGACACTGTTGACTCAGAAAAAAGGAGAGTACATCTTTACTTCATTGCAGGTCTTCCTAACTAGGAAGACTCAACAGTAGCTGCAAATAAAAGTCCTGGGATATTCACTGCGTAGGTGAATCTTGAGTAGTTCTTGATGTCAGCTGTTTCAGTGGGAAGGAACTTTTCTTGATGGCAAGTATAGAAGGAGAGGCGTAGACTTGGATTGTTAGTCCTTGATTTATTGACTTTGACATAGCAGTCAAAGCCCTTAGATTAAAAAAAAAGTGTGTGTGTGTGTGTGTGTGTATATGTGTGTAAAATGAGAGAAACCTTTTACAATGTTTCAAGTTTACATTAGGGATTTAAGATTGGAGTGAAACCATGTGAGCTGGTAGCTCATGGAAGAGGAGTGTTGATCCACACAGTAGGTGACCGAACACAGACTAGAAAGAGAAGTAGTGGGGTTGATGCCTTGAACCCTCAGAAACCTGAGCTAGAAGGTGTCAGGTGACCAGGGTTTTAAAAACAAAAAGTAACTGTTATTATGTGGAAACCACCACCAACTGTCTTTCTGGAGGCACATGTGTTGGGAGTGAAGGTGTGGGAATAATACTGTTGGGGAACAGAACGAACTCATTTCCATTAATAGTGGGAAAATGGAAAGTGAGAGGTAGTGTCCTTGAGTCAGCATGATAGATGGTGTTCCTGTATTCCAAGTTCTGGATAATTAGCTTTTGAAACCAATTCAATGTTTCAATGTTAAGTTTATTAATAAGTATTTTGATGATTGAATTAATAGCTGAATATTAAGAGTGTGTGTTCTTATACTGACCTTTGTATGTATTCTAAAATGTAAAAATTTTGTTTTTCTGACTTTTCATATGTATTTTGTGACACATTCTTTACTGAATTCTGCTCAAATACAAATTATAAAAGAATGTTTATTAACTAAAGTTCTGCATTTTCTAGAAAATCTTTCTGGGTTCTTCTTTTGACTCTCAGTTATTTATGTTCAGTAAGTCAAATGAACATATAACATTTCATTAACTCATCTGCCGTAAGTGCACATTTGAGCTGAGGTTGAGACCCAGAAATGTTCCATCAGCAGTTACCGTATAATAGTAACATTAGTAGTGTGTGGAGTTGGCTGCTTAAATCGTTGTTTGCAGAACAGTTGAAACTTAAACGTGATTTTACATTGCAGCAGGTCTTGTTCATTTATTTGACATGTTTCCTTTTTTTTTTTTTTGGTAACTTAGCCATTTTTTTACTTTGAATCATTAAAAATTAATTACTACTGCATTGCGATGATGATTATGTTTTATATTAAAGAATAAAATAAATATATATTTTGTTGGCTTAAAACTGCCATATTGTATTATTTTATATTTTCCTCTTTTTAGTTTATTGTTTTGTTCATTTATCAAACTGTATCTTTATTCTTTGGATCTTTTTTTTAAAAAAAAACAACAAAACATAACCTGCAAAGAAATATAAGCATTGTTTACATATATTTAAGATGTTGATTTATGGAGTCTTGGTGTTAGGGTAAAGCACTGGGCCACAAGGTCGGTTTGAATTGCAAGGTGGTGATTCAGACCCACCAGCTGCTCCGCAGAAACCTTGTATAGGGTCACTATGAGTTGAAACTGAATCAACGGCTCTTAAAAACAACAACAGCAAACTATGATTTAATTTCATTTCAGTTGATAGCCTTTAGCCTTGGAATCATATAAAAGAGCATTTGTAAACTTTCTAGAGTTCACTCCATATGAAATGGAGTGCTAGTTTAGCTGCCGTGGTTCATTGTGTTTAGTTTTGACTACTAACAAGACTTGAACTAATATGTACGACAGAATGAAACACTGCCGTGTCTGGCACCATCCTCATAATTGCTCCTGTGTTGGATCCTTATTCCTACCACATCCCACTCTCTAGATTACATCTTGATCTATTAGAATCTTTGCTTTTAATGATGCAGTCAGTCATCCCTTAGCGTCTGCAGGAGATTGCTTGCAGGACTCACAGAGACTTTTAACTTTCATGTCAATGTAGAACTGACTGTAGAAATGCCTTGACAGTTTTTATTCCCACACTCTTATTTATTCACATTGAGAGTCATTTTTTCACCTACTGCTGGAAAGTGAATATCCTTGATTAATTTGGCTTTTCTTTGATCTCTGTAAGGCAAAACAAACAAATAGCATTCACCTTTTTCCAAACTAATTTTGAGAACATAATGTATGTTGTCACATAAACTGTATACATCATCATTTCTACTGTCAGTAAAGTTCCCACCTGTTTTTATTTTCCCCATTTTCTTTACCATAACACTCATTTCTTGTTATTTGTTAACGGAGAATGATAGCATAACTTTTACTTAGGGATTTCAAAACCAAAACCAAACACATTGCCCTGGAGTTGGTTTCCAACTCATCCTGACCCTATAAGACAGAGTAGAACTGCCCCGGGGAGTTTCCAAGACTGATAAGGAAGCTGACGGCCACATATGTTGCCTGCAGAGAGTCTGGTAGGTTTCAACTGCTGACCGGTTCTGTTCATAGCAAAGTGCTTTAACCACTGTACCACCTGGGCTCCTTACTTAAAGATTGCTGTGGTTAAGTGCCATTGAGTTGATTCCAACTTATAGGGACCCTAAATAGGGTTTCCAAGGAGCAGCTTGTGGGTTTGAACTGCAGATCTTGTGGTTCACAGTTCAGTGCTGACCCTATATGCCACACCAGGAGCCCTACTTAAGGATAGAATTAATAAATTTGCAAACAACTCTAATATACAACTTCCAAGCTAATCGTCTTAAAGCGTTTTCTGAGGTTTAATGTACTAAGAAAATTTTACTGTGTAAGTGGAATTTTACTGTTCACTCTACAGAAAAGGTAAAATTTCATTGAACACATTTCAGAATTGTTAAAAATTCATTAATAATGCCTGTCATAAAATATGGACTTCTGGTGTGGCACTGTAGGGTCAGTACTGAACTGCAAACCACATGATAAGCAGTTCAAACCCACCAGCTGCTCTGTGGAAACCCTATGCAGGGTCACTATGAGTAGGAACCGACTTGATGGCACTTAACAGCATCATAAACTATACTTTCTACTTAACCTGAGACCTCCTATGACTCTTTCTGTCATGGAAAATACTATATGTATTTTATTACAAATACATAAAAAATATAAAATAATTTGGTATACACCTAAGTTGTGGGTTCAGTTATTCAAAACTGAAGAATGTTACAGTTTGCCTCTCTCTCTCTCTTTTGATTAAAGTAGTACAAAATGTCAAAAATTAGAAGGAAAGTCACAGTGGAAAATACCAAGACCATATCTGATAGTACATCGCGAAGACCCAGTGTCTTTGAAAGGCTTGGACCCAGCACTGGCAGTACTGCTGAGGTGAGTTGTCACACAGGAGTTTGCTTGGAATATAATCACTAAAATACTGTTTTGTGCCATAAAAGTCAACAGGTTGCTTTATTGTAGAATTTTTGATCTGAACAAAATTTTAAATGTATTTTGTAAAAAGGAGTGATGAAAGGGTTGGTAGGTTTTCAGATTTTTTTCTGATGTTTTAATTATATGTAATGTATTGCAGGTAGTTGGAATTTTGATAGCATTTGTTTTAATTTTAAGCCACTAACTGTTTTCCCCCCAGAAATAAATATGAAATTGACGTAGTAATATCTGTCTCTTAGACACAGTGTCGCAATTGGCTGAAGACTGGCAACTGCCTCTATGGAAACACATGCAGATTCGTGCATGGCCCTTCACCCCGCGGCAAAGGTTATAGCAGCACTTACAGACGGTAAATTGAAAACTTCTGACTTTGAATTCTTTACATGCTCTTAGAAGATCAGTGACTTTTGTAATTTAGTGAAATACAAACATGCATTTGATCAGATTTTCTACTTTGATGATAATCTTATAAGTAGTCTAAGATTGACAAGATTGTTTTTTGTTATTTTCAAATTTATTAAAGTGTTTGCTTTACAGTCAACTTATTTGCCTTGTATTTACTTGTTTTGACAATTGTTGTTGTTGGTATATGCTGTGGAGTTGGTTCCGACTCATAGTGACCCTGTACAGGGTTTCTGAGTCTGTAAACCTTTATGGGAGCAGAAAGCCGCCTCTTTCTCTCGCGGAACAGGTAGTTTTGAACTGCTGACCGTGAGATTGACAGTCGAGATTTAAAAAATATGTATATGGCTCATTTTTACTTTCTATAATAATGTGTAAATTTACTGTTGGTTGTTGTTGTTATGTGCCATGGAGTCGGTTCCGACTCATAGCGACCCTGCACAGGGTTTCCAAGGCTGTAAATCTTTACGGGAGCAGAAAGCCTCATCTTTCTCCTGCAGAACTGCTGGTAGTTTCAAACTGTTGACCTTGCGGTTCGCAGCCCGATTTGTAACCAATAAGCTAGATGGTAGAATTCCATAGTATCTGTAGTATCGTTCTATTATCTAAATTTATTTTTAGTGAGGAGAGACTTAACATTTTGAAATCCTAATATCTCAACATTTACATAGGGGATATATTTAGCTCTTTAAGATTTTCTGAATTTAAATCTTAACAACAAGGAAGCGTTTATGAAAAAGCCCAATAGGTTAAATTACATTTATCAAATAACTCACAGATACATTTAAATGAAACTTGTATTCCTATATAGTTAAATTTATTGTCTATTTAGAATATCATTTTGTCGTGAATAAAGGTTGGGCTAAATTAAACTTGCCTAATAAAAACTTTGTTTTCCTTTATTTCTCTTATGATGATTTAGTTGTGGTATTTAAAGATATAATATGAGGGAGCTTCACAAAGTTTGTGGAAAAATGGAATTGAAAGACAATGGAATTTTTTCATGAATTTTTTGAATCCCTGTCTATACATATAAAGATTGTCATAAAGACAGTTTAAAGGTGATTACTAGGCAAATACTTTGCCTATTTCTAAGGTTAAACAATATAAGAAAGAAATATTGGCATTTGAACATTTTTTTTCTTTTTATTGGGTGGGCAGGTTTTGAAGTTTAGTAGAGTTAGAATTTTAAGTTAATGTCACGTGACTTTCTGTTAACTTAAGCATATACATATTTTTTTAGTTTACTTGTATTGCTAAATATTGATTTTTATTTAGATTTTTTTTGGTCATTTCTGTTATGGTTGGAAAATCAGTCTATATTGCATGTGTTTAATTGCCTGCATACATAAACTGGGAAAGCTATTTCAACAACTTTGATATTTATATTAATACCATTCTTTAAATATATGTTTTATTTAATCTTTGAAATTTATTATTAGCTAAATCAAAATTTTTACAAAAAATTTTTGAGAAAAATGATCAGAGAAATTTGTTTAGCTTGGAAAAATGTAGTAGTACAGTAGTACTAGACTTAGAAATAAGAATTTGTTAAAATTTTGCTATTCGTACATCCTTTTAATTTGTTATCTTATGTTTGTGTTTTTCTATTTTTTTTTTTTTAAGGAAAAAAATTGTGATTTAAAGAAAAACAACTCATTTCAGAAATGCTTTCTTTATGTTATTTATTGAGATTTTACTGTGTAAAGCATATTTTGCTAGGCTGCTTAGAACAGAAACAAATTCATAGTCAACTGTTTTTTCTTCTTTTTTTATTGCCTTTTCCTTCATCCAAATGTTTATGTGGGTTGGAACTGATTTGATGGCACTTAACAACAATGTCTAGCTAGTGATCATTCTGCTCCTCCCCTCCCATCCCTGGTCACCATCGAAGAATTTCCTTTTTTATGTATATAGTTTTCTTTCCCTTTTTGTAATAGTAGACTCATACAATATTTATCCTTTTATGACTTATTTTACTTAGCACAACTTCCTCCAGGTTCACCCACAGTATGAGGTGTTTCATGAATTCTTATTAGTCTTTAATGTTGCCTGGTATTCCATTGTTTGTATGTAATATAGTTTGTTTATCCATTCATCCACTGATGGGCACTTTGGTTGTTTCCATTTCTTTGTTATTGTGAACATGGGTGTACATATATCTGTTAATGTCTAAGGTCTTCTTTCTTTAGGATATTAGGGAGAACTTCAAAAATTCATGGGAAAATAGAATGAAAAAATAATATAATTTTCAAAGACCTTTTTGTAGCACCCTCATATACTTGGTAGTGGGATTGCTCAATCAAACGGTATTTCTGTTTTCAATTTTTTAAGGAAGCACCATATCACAGAATGAAGGACATCAGATGATTTTGACTGAAAGCAGAGGGTACCAGAAAGTTATTTGCTTGTGCTTTATTGATTATTCAAAATATTTGACTTTGTGGATCATAATGAGAAAATATTGGTAGCACTGAGAAGAATGGAAATTCCAGAACAGTTAGTTTCGGTTGTGTGGAACCTGTACATAGACCAAGAAAGAGGCAGTTGTTTGAACAGAACACGGGGATACTAAATGGTTTAAAATCAGGAATGGTGTTTAGCAGGGCTGTATGCTGCTCCTTGGAAACCCTATACAGGGTCGCTATGGGTTGGAATCGACTCCATGGCACTTCACAACAACAGCAACATATATATTCACTCTGTACACTGAGCAGATAATCTGAGAAGCTGGATTATATGAAGAAGAACGTGGATCAGGATTGAAGGAAGACTCACTAACAATCTGCAGGTGACACAACCTTGCTTGCTGAAAGCCACGCACACTTGAAATACTTCATTGATGAGGATGAGAGCTATAGACTTCAGTATAGATTGCACGTCAGTGTCAGTGTAAAATAAACAAAATCCTCACAACTGTACCAATAAATAACATCAGTGATAAACAGAGAAATGATTGAAGTTGTCAAAGACTTCACGTTACTTAGACCAAAATTAATACTCATGGAGCATTCGTCAATAAATCAAAGGATGTATTTCATTTGATAAATCTGCTGCCAAAGACCCCTTTAAAATGTTCAAGAGCAAAGATGTATTTTTTTTTAGGATTATTGTGTGCTGACTCAAATCATGCCAGAATTCTTAGAAGTGAGGATGGTGAGATTTTGTGGCATGTTGTCAGGAAGGGCCAGCCCATGGAGAATGACGTCATGCTTAGTAAATTTAGTGGAGGGCCAGTGCAAAAGAGGAAGACCCTCAACGACATAAGAATGTCACAGTTGCAGCAACAAAGGACTCAAGCATAAGAGTTGTGAGGATGGTGCAGGACTGGGCAGTGGTTCTTTTTGTTGTACATAGGGTTGCTGTGAGTCACAAAGGACTTTAGGGCCGATACCAACAACGTTCCTGATATAACTCAGCAAAATAGGAATTGAAGGGAAATTCCTCAACATAATTAAGAACAGATATGCAAAACTAATTGAGTTCTGGTGAGACACTATAGAATAAGCACAGGACTACTAATTGCATGGCTGGCAGTTCAAACCCATCAACCACTCCTCAGAATTACTATACAAGGTCACTGTGAGTCAGAACTGACCTGGTAGCACTTAACAACAACCACAACAATGCAAAATCAGAAGCCAACATTATACACAATGGAAAGAGACTAAAAACGTTTCCCGTGAGAATGGGAACTAGACAGGGTAACCTTCTATCACCACTACTATTCAACATTGTATTGGAAATCCTAGCCAGAGCAAAAGCAAGAAAAAGAAATAGAAGGCATCCACATTGGTAAGGAACAAGTAAAACTATCCTTATTTGCAGATGATATGATCATACATATAGAAAATCTCAGAGACTCAGCAAGAAAATTACTGGAATTAATTGAAAGATTCAGCAAAGTGGCAGGTTATAAGATCAGTGTATAAAAATCATTCCAGTTTCTTTACATTAGCAATGAGAATTCTGAAAAGGAAATCAGGAAAACAATAACATTTATAATAGGCATTCAAAAGATGAAGAATTGAGGAATAAATCTAACTACAGATACAAAGACCTATACAAAGAAAACTGAAACACTGTAAGAGTGTATGCTGCTCCTGGATAGGAAGACTTACCATTGTAGAATGTCCATACTGTCCAAAGTGATTCATAGATAAAATGCAATTTTGTTCCAGTTTCCATCAGTATGCTCTAAGGAGATGCTGCTCTGGGATGAACATTGGACCACAAGGTTGGTTTGACCCACACAGTCGGCAGTTCAAATTCACCAGCCATTCCTCGGAAACCCTATATAGGGTTGCTGTGAGTTGGAATCAAGTCAATGGCACTTAACAACAACAACTTTATATAGGAAGGAAAGAGACTCCAGATAATCAAAGTACTACTGAAGAAGAACAAAGAAGGAGATCTTAGACTGCCTGATTTCAGAACCAGTCATGGTAATCAGAACAGCCTCATACGGGTATGCTGGCAGACACATAGAACAATGGAACAGACTGGAGAATATTCATCATTATTTTTGGCTCCTGATGTGGTGCTGTAGGATAAACTCTGACCTGCTAATTGCATGGTCGGTGGTTCAAACCCACCAGCTGCTGTGAGTGACCTATACAGGGTCACTGTGAGTCAGAACAACAACAGCACCACTTTCCATGAAAAGCTGATCTTTGGATAGAGCCCAGCATCCATTTTATGGGGAAAAGGCAGACTCTTGAACAAATGGTCCTGGAAAAACTGGCTATCCATTAACAGAAAAAATGAGGAAAGATCTATACTGCATACCATATGAAAAACTAGTTCAAAGATGGACCAGATACCTAAATGTGAGACCTAACACTGTAAAGATCATCAAAGGAAGAAAATAGGAACAAATAAGGGGCTCTAACTTACAGCATAAATAGACTATCAAATACAACCAAAAATATACAAATAGTAGAAGAT